AAGTCACTATACTTAAACATCGAGCCCATGATAATCTTCATTGGACTCGCCGAGTTGACCATGCAACTCGCCGAGTCCTTTCAGTCCTTCATCCAAATAGATGCTTTTTAAGCCATGCTAAGGTTCCATAATAAAGACCCTAAAAGACAAATCCAATCTTCTAATGGAGTTTTACACCTTAGGCTAGTCTCGTTCTTGGAAAAGCTAGAAATTTTATCAACTTAGAGACCCAAGAGAGTTTAGATCTGAAGTTGCAACTTCAGATCTTAGCTCAAACATAAGAAAGGCTTCCTAATATGCTAAAAAAGGCCTAAAATCCACCCAAATGATATCTAGATTGAATTAAGGTCAAGATAATGGCTTAATACCTTCCAAAGGTTGCCAACTAAAGTAGATCTATGATTCCCACACGTTCCTTGCTCCTAGTCACTTGATATCCAAGCTTTTCCCACCAAAAAAAATTCTCCTCCAAAGCTTAAAATACACAAATGGAGTGAGAGTAAATTCGATCGAATGATCTCCTTGATAACAGGAGAAGACTATAAATAGATACAATAGATACAACAAAGGAGTGAAGAAATAAAAAATTACAGGAACAGCCCCTAAACATATTAACTATGACAAGTTGTATAGTTGTTATCCCCCCTCAAGCTGAGGGGCGGAGGGCCGAGTTGAGCTTGTCTCTGAAGAACTCAAACCGACAGTGAGGAAGGCTTTTAGTGAAAATATCAGCAACTTGAAGCTTTGATGGTATGAACTTGGTGTGAAGTTTCCTAGAAGCCACGAGTTCTCAGACAAAGTGGTAATATAAATCAATGTGCTTATTTTCTTGTGAGCAATTGGATTTTGAGTGAGGAAGAGAGCACTCTGATTGTCACATAGGAGTGTAGGTCGAACTGTTGGAAGAGTGTGAAGCTCGTGAAGCAAATGAGTGATCAAGATGATCTCAGCAGGCCATGGCACGATATTCGGATTCACAGCTGGATCGAGAAACTGTGGGTTGTTTCTTGGCGAGTAGAAACAAGGTTTCCACCCAAAAAAATCGAGTAGCCATAGGTTGACCGATGAGTCTCAACACACCGAGCCCAGTCCTCATCAGAATATCCAAGGAGGGATGTGTTGGTGGGCTTAGAGAACGTCAAACCAAACGTAAGTGTGCCTTTAATGTAGCGAAGGATTCATCTGACATCTTCAAAAGTGTTGATTGATTGGAGCATGGAGGAATTGGCTGACTTGATTGACCGCGTAGGAGATATCAGGTCGCGTTATGGTGAGATATTGCAGTTCCCCTACAATAGAGTGGTACTGAGTCGGATCTGAATATGGGTCACCCGTCGAGGAGAGGGAAACAGTTGATGACAAGGGAGTGGGTGCCGATTTGGCATCAAGCATCTTAGCGCGTTCAAGCACATCCTTGGCATATTTTGTTTGGCTTAGGAACAAAACATCATGTAGATAGGAGACCTCAAGACCAAGAAAGTAGATAAGCTTTCCCAAGTCTTTGTTGGCAAAGTGATTGTGAAGCTGAGTGATAAACTCTCTAAGAATCCCATCTTGATTTCCAGTTAAAATTAAATCATCGACATACACCAAAAGATACATGATACACCTGCCACATGTAAAGATAAATAGAGAAGTATCGGCCATGCCACAAGAAAATCCGTTAGAAATTAAAAAGGTGCTTAGTCGATGAAACCACACATGTAGGGCCTGTTTAAATCCGTAAAGTGCCTTATTCAACTTGCACACATAAATGACAGGGAGGGACTTGCCATTACCCAAGGTAACAGATTCGGTACGTATGGAAGTTGAAGCATCGGAGACCGAGTGAGTGGTGGAATTCATATGATCGGTTGCGTCGGAGTCAACGAACCAATCAGGAACTGGAGACGAAATATGGCATTGAGATAAGAAGGCAGTGGCTAAGTCATTGACAAGAATTGACATAGTGACCATTGGTACGACACAGTTGACAATAGGGACTGCGTCTGCCACCCCGATTGCCACGACCACCACGATTTATAGGAGCAGTCGAAGCAGTCATAGGTGGTTCAAAATTGGCGCTGAATACGACTGGGGTGTAGCGGAGTGACGTATAGCCTGGATGAATGACTCGTGAATTTTAGCCTGAGCAAGCAACTCTTCGAAGGGTGGAGCAGGCCTGATTGAGTGAATAGTACTGAAGAAGGTCTCAAAGATGGGTCCGAGGCCGTAAAAGAACCAGTGCAACTGATCATCTCCATCAACCAGAAACCCGATTGTAGCCAACTGCTCGCATAGGGCTTTAAAGGCGTGACCAAACTCCGCAACTGTCTGGGTTCCTTTCTGGATCAAGCGAAGCTGGTCATTGAGATTATGGACCCGTTCAATCGATGAGTTACCATAAGCTTTTTCAAGGGCAACCCAGATTTGTCTAGCGGAAGTCAGATCCACAATAATAGTAATGGCTTCCTCCGATAAAGAGGCTTGAAGAATGATGATGTAGCGCTGATCGGCACTGACCCAGGCTGTGAATTCAGGGTTCATAACCACTTTTTCTACAATAGTAATGGTGTTGGGTGGGCACGGGAGAGAACCATCAACATGATAGAATAAGTCTTGATAGGTTAATATAGGGTGCATCTGATGGTTCCATAACAGGTAATTGGTGGAATTGAGTTTAACAGTTATCATGTGCGTCAATGTATTTAATGGGATTGATGCATCAGAAGAATTAGCCATGGAGGCGAAGGGAGGGAAGAACAGAAGAATAAGAACGAAGAAAAATGGAAGAGAGAAGCGCAAGAAGAGGAAATAGGAGACGATTAACACTCTAATACCATGAGAGTAAATTAGATCGAATGAACTCCTTAATAACAGGAGAAAACTATAAATAGATACAATAAATACAACAAAGGAATGAAGAAATAGAAAATTACAGGAACAACCCCTACACATATTAACTATGACAAGTTGTATAGCTATTATGGAGCATACTCACACGAATTAGGGTTTATGGAGTCTTAAGAGGCTGTAAGGGGAGGCTGAGGAGGCCAATTATCCTTTAACTAGGGTCCAAAACCCCAGAAATTAGAGTTTTATCCTCCAACTCCTACTTGTTGAGTCCCTTCTTGACCTCGGCGATTAGGTCACAAAAACATGTGGACCAACCTGCTACTACTCGACGAGTCAGGGCAACCAACTCGTCGAGTAGACCTTGGAATCATGAATATCTATAACCAAATAAATACTTGAGAATCGGGGCGTTACACTTATATTTTACACACATATACATACATTACACACATATATACATCCTATATATATATATATATGTGTGTGTGTGTGTGTGTGTGTGTGCGTTTGTGTGTGTGTGTGTGTGTATATATATATATATATATATATATATATATATATTATACACACATTCCTGATTGCATACAAACACATATATACACATACCAAATACATACACATGTACCAAATACACATATAACGATACACATGTACATACAAATATTTACTGATACTAAAAACACATAAACATAGACCAATACACATATTTTCACTATTTCCAAATACACATACATATATACAAAGTACACACACATATATATATATATATATATATATATATATATATATATATATTGCAATTAATTAGATCCACGTCTGTTATGAATAAAATTAATAGTAAAACCAACCTCAAATTAGAATGGTGGTGTAGTGGTGGTGGTAGTCACCGAAGATGGAGAAGACAATGGCGGTGTGGTATGCCCTAAAATCACAAATATATTACAATTACACTGGAAATCTTGATCAGAGGGGAAAAAGAAAGAGAAAGGGGGGAGGAGAGGCTCAAACCGTTATCGGCGATGATCTAATTTCTCGTCGGTGGTTCCTATGGCTTGATGGTGATAATCGACGTGGTTTCGCCTGAATCGGTGGTTTTTCGGTCTAAATCACGAGAGAGATGATCATGTGAGAGTCGTGTTATCTATGAAATGAGGGGAAAACCCCTGATGTCGACGAATGGTTTTAGCGGCTATGAGTATTAGCGACGACGAACCCAATTAGCGGAAACAAGCTACCGTAAATGGATGGAACATTTTTGCGGTAATTTTTTTAGGTATTATAGCAGTGACAAAATCGCCGTTATTGATGTTGCCGATAATTGAAAACCAACCGTTGGAAATAGTTAAGTGATCAATAGATGGGGTGCTTCCTGGAACTACAAACCATGGTTTACTACCATTAGCAGCGACATCAAAACACGGAGTTTAGTTGTCATTGCTATGGATGGCATCACCGCTAATGATAGTATTTCTTGTAGCGTTGTTCATTCTATTACACTCTTTCATTCGTCACTAGGTCTTATTACACCAAATAGACCTGTTGTATTCAAGTAATAGCAAAAATGCAATTACAAGAAAAATGAGCACCCAAAAGTAATGGATTATTATTTTATATTTTTTGTATAATTAATAATAACAACTTCAATGTAATGAACAAATTGTGTTTGAATATATAGTGGCTCCATCAGTGGCTCCACTGGTACTCGTTTATTCGTATTATACCGCAAATTGTATTCTTCAAACAAAAAGTTTGGGACCTCCCATGGATATTGGACGAAGTCACTTTTTAAAATTTTATGTAATGTGTTTGAAAAGAATATTAGAATATAATATCCCATAAAAGAAGTTGATTTTTTAATATATATTTATATTTATAACTTTATATATGGATTCTATCTTTAGCAATATCTTAAGTGGCCAACACAACTCCCAGAAAATCTATTTTATCTAATTAGTCATGGGTTTTGACGTGTTTTCTGTTTATATTCATGAATGTACTATCAAAGCATTGTAAATGATGCTTTTTAAATATAGATAAAATATACATAGAAATCTATCACAGAATTATTATATACACCAATTAAGAAGATCGATTATACTGTAAATTTTGACCAAAAAAGGAAGAAATATTTGAATTTCCTCCTAAAAGTTTTAATATACTTCGTTTTATGCTTGAATTTTGTCTTCCATGGCAATGGAATTCTTACAATGAGCAATAGCAGCTTGAATGGCAGCATGTAACTCTTCCATGGTGCTATCACTCGATGTGCTTTTCGCGGGACTCACAGTTCCTGAAGCAAGAAGTATTCCACTATTTGCCGGAGAAGTTCTCATGGACGCTGGGGCTGAGAACTCGCCTCTCCGCCCACCACCTCTAGTCACCTGGAGCGGCAAACTGCTTTTGGAGCTCAGCAAGTTGCCGGAAAAAGAAAGTGGCTGCCGGTTAAATTCATTATTTGACCTCTTCGCCTTCGGAAACGACAACAATGGCCTTACCATTTTCATGTACCTCTTGATAAGTTGAGCCACCTCTAATTTCAGCTTCTTCTTGGAATTATTGTTGTTTCTTTCTTTATCTTGGTCTTCGTGATCTCTTTCTCTTTCATCAGCGCATCCTTTTTTTCCTTTGTTACGACCAAACAACGAGAAAGATTTGGACTTTGGTCTGATTTGATTGACATTGTTGCTGGTCATGTTGAACTCTGAGAACGTGTTCCGGTGGTGATAATGGAAGCTAGTGTTTCCAATGGGGTTATGTTGGTCCTTTAGGATGTCCTTCGTTGGGAGTGTAAAACTATCCATTGAAGTTGTCGATGTACGAGGGGATATGGGAAGATGAGAGAGGAGATGGAGAGGAAGGAGGTGGCCATGGAAGAAGATATCATCCGCCGGAGAAAGGTCGATAGCAGTCAATGGTTCCGATGGTGGTGTTGTGGTGTTACCATGTTTACGGTGGTTACTATCATCGTAGTTGCCGGAGTTATAACCATCTTGTTGCGATTTTTGTGCTGGGTGCGGATGGAGGGAGATGGTGAAGGAGAATTCATGGGTAGGAGATGCGGATGCGGAAGGTTGAGATGAGGTGGCCGTTGGTGGTGCAGATGAAGTCTGGATGCTTTCTTGTAGTATTGCTTCTTGCTTCTTCATGTAACTTTGTTCATTTTCTACTTTATCTCTCATATTTAAAACTTCCATGCTTCAAGTTTTAATATTGATCGATGATCGCCTACACAGAAGGGATAAGGAGAGAGAGAGAGAGAGAGAGAGAGAGAGAGAGAGAGAGAGAGAGAGAGAGAGAGAGAGAGAGAGAGAGAGAGAGAGAGAGAGAGAGAGAGAGAGAGAGAGATGTGAGTGTGTGTATGTGTGTGTTGGCAGAGAGAATGAGAACAAGTATAGTTAGGTGCCGAATACTTGAGTCTTTTGTCCATATAAGAAAAGGTTGTGGTGGATTGAAAACCATGAGACAGGGGGATCTAATCAAAATTAAATTAAATAAAAAAACATTTTCTGTCGTTTTCAATCTTACAGCTATAATAAAATGCAAATCTATGAAAATAATGAGCTTCTAATTTGATATAATTCTCTTTTTAATGAAAAAATACAATAAGAAAGACCCAGAATTTACCACTATCTTCCATATATGCTCATTTATTCGAATGAACACAAAATTACCAATATCTACCTACTTGTAATTACTTGAATGGTTATATAAGAAACTACATTATGTTCAATGCAGCATCTAGAGATAAAAGTGAAATAGTACTTGCACTAGATCTATGGAGAATCGATCTTGAGCATCGGATGAACTTGAACTGTTGTGATTAACTGAGGTTTTATGTTTTATGACAATTCATTTATATTTCTCTATGAGCGTAATCTCCTATCTCAATTATATGATCAATATAGGACCCTACTCCAATTATGAAGACTTGGTTATTGATGTGTTTTTTGTTGGCCTTTCCAATATTAGTTGTCATTTGTATATTGTTGCTTCATTTGTAATTTTATATAATAATAATTAAGGTTTATTTGCGATGGTAGAGTTTTTGTTCATTTTGTTATGTTGTTTTAGTTTTTGGATTTCATTGATCGTCAAATTATGTATTTAAATTCATGGTCTCTCTAAATCAGATTATGTATTTAAATTCATGGTCTCTCATGATGATTTAGACATTCTTAGTGTGTCTAGTTTCTTGGAACTTTTAATCATATTTCGAAATTCCAACTCCTTAAGGGGTAAAATTGGAAATCATCTCATATTGGTCCATGCTATCACATATTTAATGCATTGTCTACAAAAAATCATAATAAATACACCAAAACTCCAAATGCCGGAATTCTAAATCCTATAGTTAGTCATGGATGTATAGCTTCCCACATATAAAAGCACTGATGTAATTCTTAGTATATTGGTGCAGTTTATTCTATGAGTGTTGAGTGATCCAGAAAGTGACAATTTAAAGTTACTAACTGTAAATTTAATATAAAATCAACCAAAAATCATTAAAAAGAGATCTTTATATTTTTGAAAATATAAAAAGGGGAACTTTACCAATATTATTTTATCAAAATCTAAAAATAGGTTGGAAGGTAAGAAACAGATCCCAACACAAAGCACTATAATCAAAGGGAAATTAAAGAAATGTGTACATAAGTTTTATAAGTGTAATAGAAAAAATCACAAGCTAAATGATGTTACAATTGTTTTGTAGGTTCTCGGAAAGGAAAGGATCTATCTACTTTTCAAGTTCAAAGAGGTGAGTTACACTAACTCTCATATTATGTAGGAATTACTTGTTTTATGTTATTATTTACAGATACCAAAATATGAGACAAGCAGACATGATTCATTTTTGCATTCTCGATTCGTTAATTTTTCTCGTGTATTAAATCAGATATGACTTATATACACAGGATTTATTTTTGGGTTTTCGATTAAATAGTTGTTCTTTGTCCATATGAATCGTATGTGATTAAATGCATAAAATAACATATGATTAAATATATGATAACAACTATTGAACTAAGAATGCGATTTTGAATATTATTCACATAAATCGTATGCGATTAGATACATATAATCACATGTGATTTAACATGAGAACAAATATTGAATCGAGAACACGAAAATGAGTATTGTCCACATAAATCATATGCAATTAGATGCATATAATCACATGTGATGATATGTATCTAATCACATATGATTTATTTGGCTAAGATTCATTTTCGCTCTCTCCGTTTAGTAATTCTTTTTTCCACTTTAATCAAATGTGATTAAATACATTTAGTCAGATGTGATTATACATTTCTAATCACATATGATTTTATTTGAAATAAAAGAATCTTTTCTATATAAATCATATGTGATTAGATATATATAATATTCACATGTGATTATATACACTATAACAAATATTTAACCAAGAACACAATAACAAGTCTTTATCCATATTAATTATATGTGATTAAATACATATAATCACATATGATTATATGAATCTAATCACATATGATTCATGTGGACACAAGTCATTTTTTCTTTGTGGATTCAATAGTTGTTCTCATCTATTTTATCACATTTTATTATACGTATAATCGCATGTGATTAAGTATAGGAGCACAACTATTGAATCGAGAAGGCAAAAATGAATCTTATCCACCTCAATTAATATGTGATTATATATGCATAATCATATGTGGCTAAATACATAAAAATAATTATTCAATCGAAGTCACAAAAATAAATATTTCCTACATAAATCATATATGATTAAATAGATATAATAGCATGTGATTATAAGTATTGAATAACATATGATTTATGTGGATAAGATTCATTATCACATTCACGATTCAGTAATTGTTTTTTGTCGACTTTACTCATATGTGGTTAAATACATATCTTCATATGTGTTATATGTATCTAATCACATATGATTTATATGGATAAAAAAGGATAATGTCTAGATAAATCATATGTATTAGATACATATAGTCACATATGATTATATGCACAAAAACAACTATTGAATCATGAACACAAAGACAAGTATTGTCTACATATATCAATTGTGATTAAATTCATATAATCACATGTGATTATATGTATCTAATCACATATAATTTATATGGAAAATATTCACTTTCACACTCTCGATTGAGTTGTTGTTCTTGTGTATTTAATTACATTAGATTATATATATCTAATCAGATATGATTTATATGGACAATAATTGTTTTCATATTCTCGTTCAATAGTTGTTCTTGTGCATTTAGTAACATATGATTTATGTAAACAAGATAAATTTTCACGTTTTCTATTAAATAGTTTTGTCTTTTTCTACATTAATAATATGTGATTAAATACATACACTCACATATGACTAAATACATGAAAAAAAAGATTGAATAAAAAATGTGAAAACCAATGTTATCAATAAAAATCATATGTGATTTAATAGATATAATCAAATGTGCTGAAGTACATGAGTACAGCTATTGAATCGAGAATGACATAATGAATCTTGTCTACATAAAGACATGCATTGGACATGCATGTCCATAAAGCCTCCATCTTTAGAACGTTTTGAGGACTAGAAACTCTTCTTGAAAAAAAGGGATTCCAAATCCCTAAATTTTGGGAATGCATGCCAAGACTTTTGAAACTTTTCAACCTTTGATAAGAGCCTTAGAGCATTCACAGTGATTCTAGAGGGTAAAGTTGGAAACTTTATCCCTCTAGACACATTAGGGTTTTAGATCTAATCCGTGGAGTCCCTGTATTCGGTGAATCATCATAATGAGCAAACAGGGAGTAGGACTCGATGAGTTGCCCTAGAAACTTGACAAGTCGGAAGGGGTTTCCCCATCTACTAGATATCGAGTCAGCTCATCGAGTTGATGAAACGACTCGACGATTTGGCTAGGGTTTTTTTTAGGTTTTTGGACTCCATAGGAACTCGACGATCGTTGCTAGATGCACTCGATGAGTTGGGGTCAACATGGACTGTTGACCGTGACTTTGACCTGGGTTGACAAGAGTAGAGTTTTAGGGTAGTTGTGGGATTATGACAAATTAGTCTTATGATGCTTATAGGAAGTTTAGTTGGTGCTGCAGGTTGGAACTTATTGAATCTTATCTTGTCAACACAACATTCATGAGAGGTGAGTCTCCTCACCATGCCAATGGGTCGAAGGCACCAAGGCTGGCCCATCATTTGTTACGTATGTGCTATTGGGTTATGTGATATGCGATGTACTGGTTGTATCTATGAAACCTGTATGGAATACCTCGGAGGGTTCCCGAAGAACTTAGGTATTAGACCGTGGAGGGTTTCGACGACATCCTAGTAAAAGATCTCGGGGGGTTCTTGAGGCGCTTAGGTGTAAGACCTTGGAGTGTTTTCCTGGCATCCTAGGTCAAGACCTCAAGGGGTTGTCGTGGCATTGGGCTAAGACTATGTGGGGGTTACCATGGAACCCGGAGTAAGGCCCTGGAGGGTTTACAGGGCTTCATTATATGTTAGTATGCATGGCTTATGTGATATGTGTAGCTTTTATGGCTAATATATACGTGTTATACGGATTGTATGTGTCGTATGCTCTAGGGAAATCACTAATCGTGAGCCTACAATTTGTGGATTTGTTTCAGGTGCTTCTGAGCCCAAGGGCAAGGACAATGCCTGATGGCGTAACGTGTAGTCTCTCAAACATTTTATAGAACACTCTGATGTTTTGAAATAAAATTATATTTGATATAAGCTATGAAAACAATTATATTTGAATTTTGTGGTTTATGGGACTATATCTTAGCTAATCAAAAATGGAATCTTTTTTTGAAAATTGGGTCGTTAGAAGTTGGTTTCAGAGCCTTGGTTTGAGGGATTCGGGCACACCCTCAGGGTGTGTCAAGACTCAAACTGAGGAAATGGTAAAAAAATTTCAAATAATAAATAAAAGTTAGAGCTTTTAAAGTATGGAAAATAGGATAGTGCAATGCGCGTGATCAACCAAGCCAAGTAAGCGTTTCCCCAATATGTTAGCCATGTTATACTGATATGTGAATTATGATAATCATATAAATCTTGCTACATGTATGCTTTCTAACTTGTATATGGTTAGGGTCTTATAGCCTCAGAATGATT